ATAAATAGATTAATAGAGTATTAAAGGAAAAAATAAGGTTAGAATGTGTTAAGATAATTATAGGATAGAAAACAGAGGAAGATGGAAAGGAATTGCTGAAACAATTAACAGAAGTGGAATACAAAAAGGGAGGTGTGAGGAGGTTGTGGAAATAAGTGAATGAAAGATAAGATATTGAAATTGTTTGATTTATTTTAAACTGTTTTTGTTTTGTTAGTTTAATGTGTTTAATATGTCAATGTTATGTAGTGTTTTGTATTGTATTGTATTGTATTGTATTGTATTGTATTGTACTGTATTGTATTGTTTTTGTAGTGTTTAAATTGTTGGAAAAGTAATAAATATTAATTCTTTTAAAAAAAATCTCCAAGGAAGGAGAGTCCACAATCTACCGTGGGAGTCCATTCCACTGTTGAACAGCTCTTCCTGGAAACTTTTAGTTTGTTACATTTCCAGCAACGTGGAAACTATAGTTTGTTAAGGTTGCTCTGATCCTCTCCCAGAGCTGCAATTCCCAGAGTTCCCTGAGTAGAGGGACTGATCGTTAAACTACTCTGGAAATTGTAGCTCTTTGGGGGGAACGAAGTCACCTAACAACTCCCAGCACCCGTAACAAGCTTCACTTTCCTAGGATTCTTTGGGAGAAGCCACGACTGTCATAAAGATGATACGTGTGTGCTAAGGCGCACAGTTCCCTAGTAGATAATAAACACAGAGACACAAGTATTTTGGTTTATGGGTTCAAATAGGCCACAACTTTATGTCGGCATCCTTTGGGGGTCGAGATGCCAGATGGCTAGTCCCCAGCTGGATCATGCCCTTCCAGCCGTGACGATCCCCCGATCTCTGGTGCGATGTAAATCAGTGACCCAGACTTCAAAAGCCTGAGCACGCTATATTAGCAGAGCATACGGCACAAACAGAACAGGCGTGAGGCTTGTGGAAACATACTAACAGCTAAAGATTTATTAAGCATAAATCAGGACAAAGAAAACATGTTGTCTCCATTTCTTCTTCTCAGAGAGAGAGTGAAAAGCAAAAGCTATAAGCACAATGGAAGTTCCCAGCAGACTGTGCTGGTATGTAAACAGACATGTGACATGCAACAGTTTCATGTCTGCAACTAAAGGTGGAATAGAATTTCCCAACACTTTATTGGTTACAGATGTGAGCGGTTTGGCTTAGACATTCGGTGAAGCTAGGCTGTATCTTGACTCTCGCCCATCTGCAGGGAGTCCAACGAAGGGGAAACCACCAATAGGGGAGCCCTATGACTTACATCAAATAGTGGCACCCTGAGGAGTCCCTGCTGGGGTCATGGCATGGCCCTAGCCCACATCCAGGCATCAGACAGAATCCACACCTCTGGATCCCTTTAACAGAATACCCTTAATGAGGAGGGGCAGGCGGTGGCTACAACCTCCCCTCCATCCAAAGAAAGGCTTACCCAATGCCTAACCTCACAAAGTTGTGACAATTGCTACCAGGTAGGCAAAAACCAAATGGCTGGTGTCAATTTGCCAAGTGGGAAAAATTCCTACTCAGCCCCAACAATATGGTGGCTGACATTTGTCCATAGCAAGGTCATATCAGAGCAAAGCATGAAAAGAGGGTGGGTGGGTAGGGAGATCCAGCAAAAGGGCAAGAGAGGAAGGCCCCGCCAGCTGCACCATGGTTAAATCAGCCACGCCCATGCCCATGACCAATGCTGATTGGCCAGTGGGACCACACTGGGCATGGCCCTCCCCAGCGCTGGTGATACGGCCGGGACAACACATGGGGGATGTCAACTCTCCACCCCTGCTCTCAATAACTATTGAGTCCCCGATGCCTGGCTGCAATGCCACCAACCAGAAAAGGTGAGCAGGCTTATTTAATTGTATAGTATAGATCTGTTGGCTGTCCTTGTGTAGTCCAATATCATTGACTCTGTCTGGCAGGAGCTCTCCAAGGTATCTGGCACAAGCTTGCTGGATTAGGCCAGTGACCCATCTAGTCCAGCATCTTTTTTCTCACATTGGTTAACCAATTGCCTCTGGGAAATCTGCAAGCAGGATTTGAGCACAAGAGCCCTCTCCCCTTCTCTGGTCCCCAGCAACTTGTATTCCAGTGATGGGTATTTTAATGGGAAATGTCAGGAATTGACCTTGGCATATTCTGCATCCAAAGCACGTGCCCCACCAACTGAGCATTGATCTATTCTTTCTGCCAACAGCAAGAGTCAGAGGGTGGGGAGCATCATCCTCTCCCACCTGCCATACTTGCCCTTCCATTCCATCCAGGTGGGTCCTCCATCTCCCACGTCCTCTTTCCTTGCACAGCGCAAGCGGTGATGCTAAGCAACTAGGACAGGCTGGGGAGTGTTGAGGTTGCACTCTTAATGGTTAACTGCCCCCTTCTCCCTCTGGGGCTCTGATATTCCTTGTGACACTGGCCTGCCAGAACTGTCTCCCTCTTTCAGCTTACATCTTCATGAGGAACATGAGAGGACTTTGGAAACACACAGGGGACACAGGCACTGTCAAAGGCAGTTATTTCCTTCCACAGTTCAGTCCCAATGCTGCCTCCACCACTGATTTAGCCCTCCTCCTCCTCCTCCCTTGCCTTCCTTCATTATCTCTCACACTAGTTCCTTTTTAAACACACCTTTTTACAAAACATACAACTCCGACAACAGCCTTCTTTTTTTAAAAAAAAAACCAACCCACCGAAACCAGCCTCAAATTTCCTTTCGCAATAGCTATATTTTATGTGAAAACAAGCTCTTTGAATGCAGGCGCCCTTATGCAAAGCTACAGAGAGCCGTATTTTTTGGCTCAAGGCACCAGTATTTAGAAGGAAATGCTTCTCTTTCATCTGTCCAAAGAAATCTTTTTCTCAGCACTTGTAAATCTGATTGCTGCCAATTTCAGCAACAGAAACATACCCATTTGGAAAGGGAGGCATTAGTGACTTAAAGATACTCATAACATTTAAACTAGAGCTCTCTCCCTCTCTCCCTTTCCCCCCTCTTGCACCGCAGGCTTGTGTTTTTCCAGGGATTCTCTCTCCCCACCCCCTCTTTCTTGCAGAGGGGGGAAATGCATATATTGCTTACTTTGAGCTGAATGCTTCGCTTTGACATGAAAGACGCAACAAATGCTTTTCTGCGCTGAAAGGGACAGCCCAACATTCTGCCCTGTATGTGTGAGAGCGTCTTTTGCTCTATATTATTCACACTGTGCATTCTGACTTTATCCTTGTGGGTTTAAGACCTGGAGGGAAAAAACAATATAAAGCACAGACATATGAGAGCGCGTGGCAGAAAGCTCAGGAAATTTCCTCCATCTTCATCCTCGTAAATAAAGGTTGATCAGAATTCCAGAGCTGCAAAGCAACTGCCTCTTTCAGATATATTGCAGGCTTATCGCCAGGAGATGTTGAGATGTTTGAATTAACAGGTGGCTGATTGTTTGTTATCCTTGGGATTTATATGCTGCTTTAGATAGTGGAGGGCACTAGGCTGGTGGCGAGCAGTGTTTGCTTCTGACTGGCAGGGTGAAGATGAGGTGGAGTTGCTGAGGAGGGGAGGGGTCCAATCCTCCTGGGGTGGGCCCTATCTTACTGCTACCATAGCCTGAGAAAGAGGGAGGGATCAGTGGTACATCCTCCTGGAACACTGTGGCCAAAGAAGGGCCTGAAGATGCTATCCCAATGCCAGTCCTGTTAGGTGGCACCAGCATAAAAATGGTAAGCATAAAGGACACCTGGATGGTTAAGTCCAGTCAAAGGTGACTATGGGGTTGTGGCGCTCATCTCGATTTCAGGCCGAGGGAGCCGGCGTTTGTCGGCAGACAGCTTTCTGGGTCATGTGGCCAGCATGACCAAACCACTTCTGGCACAGCGGGACACCGTGACAGAAACCAGAAGGAGACACAGTTTACCTTCCCACTGCAGCGGTACCTATTTATCTACTTGCACTGGTGTGCTTTGGAACTGGCAGGAGCTGGGACAGTGCAATGGCAGCTCACCCCATTGCAGGAATTTGAACCACTGGCCTTCTGATCAGCAAGCACAAGAGGCTCAGTGGTTTAGATCACAGCGCCACCCGCATCCAGGCACCAGCATATCCAGCACCGGACAATCCACAGTGGCTGGTTGATCTCTACCAGCACAGAACAGAAGAAGCTGCCTTACACTGAATCAGACCTTGGGTCCATCTGTTGGCTACACCAATTGGCAATAACCTTCCAGGATTTCAAGCAGAGACTCTCTCCCAGCCCAACCCAAAGATGCTATTGGGGATAGGTCCTGGGGCCTTCTGCATACAAAGCAGATGTTCCAGCAGTGAGCTACCACCCTAGTTACCCTAACAGCAGTTTCACATAGAAGTTCAAAAAACACCCAGGACAAATCTTGCAGTACCCCACAGGTCGAAACTCAAAGGGTAGAGCATCAGCTTCTAGCACTGACCCATTGGGTAGGAACAGAACCACGACCACAGAGAGATATGAAGGCCTGCAAAAATTGGAAAATGTCCCCCTCTCACACTTTTTTTCTGGTTTTGCCTCCTAATTTTCCAAATGTAATAGGGGGAAATAGACAAAAGGGGGAAATTTCCTCTGCAATACTTCCATCCCACCCCCCAGACCTTCACATCTCTACTGCCAAACAGTGTCCCTATCACTCATCCATCTCAGGCTGCCCAGAAGGATTTGATCTATAGCTCAGTGCACTTGCGTTGCATGCAGAAGGTTTCAGGTGGTATATCTAGGTTGGGCTGGGAGAGACTGCTGCCTCAACCCCATATATGTGTATGTGTGTGAGAGAGAGTGTATAATGTTTCTATAGCCCTATGTCATGAAATATCAGAGGAATGTTCATTAGCCTTCCTACACCTTCATGTATTCATTGCATTTACATATGCCATCATTTCTTCCAAGGGCTCTCCCCCTCCCCATTTAAACCCCACAACAACCCCGAGAGTTAGTGACTGGCCCAAGGTCACCCAGTGAGCTTCATGACCAAATGGAGATTTGATCCTTCGTCTCCCAGGTCCTAGCCAAACGCGCTAACCACTGTGCCACACTGCCTCCTTTTTTCTTTTCTTTTTTTACAGGGATGTCTCAGGATGCTTTCTTCCCAAAGCCACAGGAAACACCGCCGTCTCTTTCAGGATCGGGGCGACTGCAAACGTGTGGCCGTGCCATCTTTCGCTGGTTCTGCTGTGCCTGCTAAGCCCAGCACATATGGCAGAAAAAAAATTACCCGCTGTTCGGAGACCTCCACACGCTGGCGATCCTAGCATCAGCAGTAATGAAGGCTCGGTGCTCCTGTGAGGGAAAGTTAATGTAATAACAACATTACATTCAGCAAACAAATGTTTGAGATGTTGGGGTTTTTTTTAATAATAAAAAAAATTGGAACTGCCAGCCAGCCAGCAAATGGACCCTAAAGTTGCCGCCTCCGCTGAGACATGGATTTAATGCAACAGTAAATGGCTGGTTGGTTGGCCTATCACCCCAACCACACTATTGGATTGTGATGTGCAAGGGGGGTGGGAAGCTCTGGACAGTGCACAGTAGACTCAGAAAGACAGGATTGTGTGTTCATGGAAGGCGCAAGAGCTATTTCCCCAAGTGGGAACTGCCTACTTTTGGTGGTGTTGTTATTCTTTCTTGAAAGCTAATTGACATTTTTACAATGAAACACACACCCCAATTATACAATTCATGATACTGGACATATCTCACTAAGCCTCGCTTTTCCATGCTTTCCTCCTTTGCAGTTGCTGACATGTGTGAAGGTCTGTGCCTGACATCTTAACCAATTTACAGTTATGTCTGAGGTTGATACATATATTGTTGAGATTGGCAGATCAATATATTACACAACAAAGCCAGATGTTGGTAGATTCAGGACAAAGGAAAGAAAGTATTTCTACGTGCAACGCATAGTTAAACTATGGAACTTGCTGGCCATCATCCATGGCCACCAACCTAGATAGCTTTAAAAGAGGATGAGACAAGTTCTTAGAGGAGAGGGCTATTGATGGCTACTGGCCATGATGGCTTTGCTTTACCCTCCACAGATGGAGGTACTAATGCTTCTGAATACCAGCTTCTGGAAACCACAGGAAGAAGAGGTGATGTGAGCTGGAATCCAGAAACATCTGAAGGGTCACAGCTCCCTCACCCCACAGGAGGTGGAGTGTGGGGTGAGATAGCTGTGGCCCTCCAGATGTGTCTGGATTCCAACACCCGTCACCCTGACCTGCTGGCTGGAACTGATGGGGTGTTGGACCAGGACATGGGAGACTCAGCTATGAAGCTCACTGGGTGACCTTGGGTCAGTCACTCTCTCTCAGCCTAATCTACCTCACAGGTTGTGGTGAGGTTAGCATGGGAAGACGGAGGACCATGTGTGCCACCTTGAACTTGATTGGGGGAAAGTGGTGATCCAAATAAAGATCTGGAGAGCTTTAGGTCCCCCACCCATGCTGTAGATGGACAAGACACAGGTAAGACTGGAAATGATTTTTTTAAGCAATGCACCTTCTACTGGGCCTTCATCATACAGCAAAGGAAGGCTTGTGACGGATGATAAACTGTAGTTCCTGACCCGAGCTGCTCTTATAGAGAAATTCTTAAAGGGAAAGCTGCACAAGCCCAGTTGAAATGGAGGGGATAAAGCTTTAATTGAAGCAAAATCTTCTTGTCTAGGGCTAATTTGCACAAGAGTTGGGCCTATGGTCAGTTGCTTGGTTGCTAGCTCTGGATTGGTTAGTGGGCTGCCTCAGGATGCTGCATTGTCATTGGTGAAACAGCCCTCTGATTGGACAGGCATTCAGTGATGAAGCACTGCTGAGTGGCTGTGCGTCCACACCTGTTAAGAAGAGGTGTGTTCACTCACTTATTTGCAAAGCAACTTTATTCCAAGGATTGAGAGAGGTGGATGGGAGGTGGGGGAGATGTGACAATAGGGCTGTTAATTTCAATTGATTCTCTGATCTGCTTCCATAACCTGAAGGGGGCCTTCCTATCTGAGAAGTGACATCTGCTGCAGAGGCCCGTCAGTGTCTGAATTCTCCTGGATGTAATTAGATCAGAAAGCAGATAGGAGTGTGGCTACGGTGGCCTTTAGGGAAGGAAATGGTCTTTGAAAAGAATTATGTTAATCAGGCTAGCCTTCTTTCCCACATCTGCTCTGCTGTTATTCTGGGTAAAATTAATAGGGCTAAGGAAAGATCTGATCATCATAACAATCTGGTCTTCGCAGCAGGGGGATATTTTTTTATGAAAGAGCTGAGCCGAGGCTCGTTGAAAACACTTAAAATAATTAGTCACAGGGCCACTCACTTTCGTCCCTTTTTAATAATAATAATGGCTATTAATGTTTACAAATTAGAGAGCCTCCATCAGAACGAAAGGACAGCAGGAACAGAAATCCAATGAGTGCACACAAAGGAGCCCTCAATGAGGCAGGTTAGTGTGCCCCAGGCTGATGCTCTAGCCTGATGTTTTTATACACACACACACACACACACACACACACACATATATACATACTGCCTTGACACACTACACACAGAAGGTAACAATTAGCTTGATTCATGATCTGAACAGGGAACCACACCAGTTAGGCACAGGAATCAGACCCTGCAACAAAACTCATTGCCCAGCTCTGCCTCCATAATATTTTCTGATAACACCAGTGCTTTTTTTTTTCTTGGGGGAGTGTGCAGGGGTATGCATACCCCTAAACATTTTGTGAATCTAACGGGAGAAGAAACCGTTTTTTTTTCATGGTTTATGCTCTAGCATGGTGAATCATCAGTTCCGTTGCTACTCCCAATGGCAGCCTTTTGTCCATTTACTGTATTTATTTCCCCCGATTTGAACTACAAAATGGTGAATTTCTTGAGTCAAAATGAGAGTACCCCTAAACATTTTTTAGGGGGGGTAAAGCAATAGATAACACCATCACACAACCTGATAATGTCATCCACAACAATAGGGGCTTGTTCACCTGATCCTCTTCTAATTTGATATATGCCACGGTCTGCCATAAATACCCTTCTGAATCCTACACAGGAGAAACAGGCCAGTCCCTCTGCAGAAGGATCAGAAATCTGAAATCAGAAATGGCACTATTTCTCTCTCTCTCTCTCTCTCTCTCTCTCTCTCACACACACACACACACACACACACACACACATACACACATACCCACACCCACACACCCCAGAAGAGGGGCATTTCATTTTATCAGGAATCTTTGGCTTGTTTCCAAAGTAGTGCTAAGTCTTGTTTCATCAGCTCATGAATTTACCCTTGCACAATGAAACTTTCACTGCTCCCTTTCCCCCTCCAAGCACTCCCTAAATCTGTTCTGGGGATTCCCCCTAACCCCTGGAGCAGATTTGGGGAGGGTATGGAAAGCACATGGGGGAGGAAAGAGGGTGTTTTGTTGCACAACTGTAAATCCTTGTGCTAATGGAACAAGGGCATTCGATACCACCCTCTGCCCCTGATCTTCAGCTGGCCATACTTAAACACATTTGAATTTCAGATTGCATCAGCTTGGGTAAAAAGCTGCAATGTGAATAGGTGGAATCACAATTCATCAAGGAGTTCAGCTTTACTCCTTTGGGCAAGGACAGCCATTTCCCACTTCTGTGCTGTCAAGTTGTTTGGCAGATCAACTATCACTATTGTAAAGGGTTAGGGTAGTGGTGTTTACTTTTTTACATGTTCTAGTTCTACTTGAATTGCCATTATCTATACTTTATGCATTTCACTCCCTCCTGACCTCGCTACTTATTATTCCTTCACTGTTCAGCATATATACCTGCAACCAAAAATTTCATTTTATGCCTCTGATGAAGTAATCTACTTTTGAAAACCCATGGAAGTTTTATTATGATTAAGCGGTAAATAAATGTTGCGACGTGGGTGGCACTGTGGGTTAAACCACAGAGCCTAGGACTTGCTGATCAGAGGGTTGGCAGTTCGAATCACTGTGACGGGGTGAGCTCCTGTTGCTCAGTCCCTGCTCCTGCCAACCTAGCAGTTCGAAAGCACGTCAAAGTGCAAGTAGATAAATAGGTACCGCTCCGGCGGGAAGGTAAATGGTGTTTCCATGCACTGCTCTATTTCGCCAGAAGTGGCTTAGTCATGCTGGCCACATGACCCAGAAGCTGTATGCCGGCTCCCTCGGCCAATAAAGCGAGATGAGTGCCGCAACCCCAGAGTCAGTCACAACTGGACCTAATGGTCAGGGGTCCCTTTACCTTTACCTTTAAATGTTGTGAGATAAATAAAATAAGTGAATGCCAGTCCACAAAGGCCTATGCTGATTCAGAAGCTCTGCATGGTGACAATACATACATATTGAACACACAAAGTTAATTTCTACATCTGGGGCTGGAGTCCAACAGTCCTCAGCCCTGAGCAGCAAAGCCAGCTGCAGGGATGCTGGCTGGAGTTGGAATTCAGAAACACCTGGAGGGTCACAGGTTTCCCAGTCTAAACAAACAGACAATGAATTGGCTAGTGGAGACAATACACTGTCTATCAGATGGCCTCCGAATGTTTGGCATTGCAACTTCCATTGGCCCCAGAGAGCATAGCCAATGGCAAGGGATGATGGCAGTTGTAGTTCATCGTCATCAGGAGGGCACCAAGTTGGGTAAAGCTGGTATAGGTATCATCAAGACATTCATAGCCCCAGCTAGCCAAAGGATGGTATGAACAGAACTGTCCGTATTGGGAAAGGAACTTGAGCTCCCAACTGGCAATGGCCTGTCCAGCCCAGCATCCTGGTCTCCTATTAGCCTACCAAATAAATGCCTCTGGGAAGCCCACAAGCCAGATCTGATCACAAGGGAAATGAGCTGTCAGGAGCGGCTTTGCTACACCTCGAGTATAAACAGTCAAGAGTAATGTTTGCTTGAAATGGGCAAAGATCTGATTAAAATGTATAAAGGATGCATGGCTACACATTTAATTTAGCTTTAATGAGGCCTTTAAGGTATTTTAATTCGAATCCAAATTATTATTTAAAGGAAGAGAAAACTGACAGGTTTGTCTCC